GCAACAAACTGCAAGCTTTGGTTGTTTATATCTTCTAAATGTGACATTCGTCACTGTTTTGGAGCCCACTGGCTTATACATGTCCTTAAATATAACACCTTTAAAAACTTAACTGGGGGCTTTAAGCTTCCCAAGAATCTTCTTCAATTAATTCTGTCCCCCAGCTGGAGTTAAGATGAACCAAAGCTGATCAGGCTCTAATTCCCACATCCTTCTCCTCCAACGCACGGCTACAAAGCAGGCTCGTCCAGCTGAGGTCACGACCCAAGGCAGCATTTGAGCTTGTCCCATCTTTCCATCCCCTCAACCCTCCTACCGTTGTTTTATGGATCCAGTTTAGAAGATGACAAAACTGCGTTAATCTGCTCTCTGAAGATGTACGCCAGCTCTGTCCTCTGATCAAGCGTGCCTGTTGCGGCTGATTGCGAGTGATTGGCCCCTGGGCAGACTTTGATGGAGGGAGGGATGAAATGGAGAAATGGAGGAGATTGGAAGGTGGCGATTCCCGAGGGCGAGCACTAATGCGACCCCGGGGTTTCTGACACTTATGTGAGATTAAAAGAATTGGAGAGAAAATAGGAGAGAATGAGGCAGAGAGTGATGAGGGATACTTGTTTGAAGTACTGTCTCTCTTGACCTCCTGCATCTTGTCTGCTCTTCTTGGTTTGTTAAGACAGAGAACTTATTCTCACTTAAAATTAAAGTATGTGTATATATAATATATTTCACAAGCAATCAAAATTTGTTTTACGTTTAATATACTGCTATATTTGGGAGTAGTGATATTTTATTTTGGATTACATAACAGGATCAGTGTACAGTAGCAGCCTGGAAAGTGAATTTTAAGTATGAGATTGTTTAGAATCTTAAAAATATAGGAATATTTTCATTTAATTGTAGTTTTCATAGTGAAGTATGCACTGCACCTAGCCGTATTTAAATTTTGGTGTGTTGGTCTTCTATAATATACTAATTTATAAGGTCATGATCCGCACTTGTTAAATAATTACTTTATTTATTTCTTTATTTTCTTTATTTCTTCATTTCTTACAATATTTATTTCACTTTCTTCTGAGATATAAAATAGAAGAGTTTTAGCTCAATGCCTTCCCCAGTGTGTCACTGTAGTTTTTATATTAATGATAGTGATAGTGATTAATGATATTAATGATAGTGTTGAACATGGGGTAGATGGTTAAATTCAGATAATACACTTTTGATTTTAGCTTTATGTTTTGTTTTTATTTTTTACTTTTTTAAAGCAAAATAGTATAAAATATATATTTTTTCAAAAACAAAATCTTAGTTACTCATTAAGCTTTTCTTTCTTTTATACTTTCATTTACTTAAAAACATTATAAAGATGTAAAATATACACAAATGAGCAGTTTTCTGCATTTTGTGATTTTATTTTTTATTTTTTGTTTATTTTTGATTTTGAATTGCAACATGGGACTGTTTTTTGTTGTTGTTGTTGTTGTTGTTGAAAAGTTGGCTTTTATTTACATTTTTAATAGCTTGAGGTAGGGCTGCACAATATATAGCAGCATTGATATCACAATGTGCACATCTGCAATAGTCACATCTCAAGTTATGCAATGTTGAGTTGGAATCATAGTTGACCAGGAGCCACAGAACACATGCGATTTGTAGATTTGTATTCAACCAAAATAGAGTGAAAGTTTATCATTTGCATGTGTTAAAGCCCATGACAGTGAGCATTTCAAGAGAGTTTAAAACATTTGGGCATTTTTATTTAATCATTTATACTGTTTATGCAAAAACACAAACTTTTTTTTATAATTTTGTCTTGTTTCTAATATTTAGGTCATGATAATTTTATTTACCCTATTGGCAGTTAATTCTGCTTGTTTTAAGGAGAAACTCTTAATTTTGACTTCTGAAGGTGAAAACAAAACAATATTTTTACTTGGTCTAAGAATTTGCAGATACTTGGGCTAGAAACTAATCAAAACAAAGTAAAAAAGCATTTTTTTCATGTGATTAGTCTATTTATGTACCTAAATACTGTTAAACTCCCCAGAAAACTGTCAAATTTAGCTATTCAAACCATCTTGTGAAACTGTATCATAATATATATCAGAAAAAAATAAAATATTGCAATATCGAAATTTTCCAATATCGTGCGGCTTTAGCTTGAAGTGTTATTTCACCTGGACTGGTGCAGTAAATTACAGTACAAAAATCTGGTAATAAACTTCCAGTATTTTTTCTGTAGTTTTTTACACGTATTTCTGTATTATCTCTTACAATATATTGGTATATATGATTTCTTACAACATATGTACAATATATTGTTTTAGGCTGCTAAAATGTAAAAAAAAAAAAAAACTCACTTTGTTCAACTGCAGAACTTTTAACTTTCAAAATCAACATATCAAGTTTCCATAATGAAATGAATATCCATAAATGCATGCAAAATATGCAAACTAATAATTAAAGGATATTTTACAGTGTAGTTTCCCACGTTTAATTTTCACCCAGTAGGCCAATCTTTGACGTTTACTACTTCTATTGCTTTGTGAACTTGCAGGTCAGAGTTCACCAGACCAAAACTTTTGTGCGCAGTGAAAGACAAATATTCTCCACATTTGTTCTCATTCATATGAATGTAATTGAATGGCACACAAAGCCCTGAGAGAGACTGCCCTTTAAGGCCCGTTGTCCCGACACACGAAAGCTTGTTTGTCCTATTTGTCATATAAAAGCCTTGTGTTTCTTTCCCATAATGCTTTGCTAAGAGCATGTATGATTATCGCTAAGAGCATTATTATGATTTGTGATATTTTCTGCTGAGCGTTTATATCGATGGGGCCTTTTAGGCAAACACATCTGTAAACTATCTGCAAATCGATATACTCTTAGATAAATGTCGTAAGTAGCGCGGTTTTATTCTTGTTCAAATGCTATCTGTACTTGTGCGAGGCATCGATGGCTTTGTAGAGAGAAAAAAAAAAGTCAATAAAAGACCTCAAAGCATTCCTTTGTCTCTGTCACCATAAATAGGAAATTATGCCTCTGTGTTTGTGTGTGGCATATTTAGAGGGAGCAACAGAAGAAAAAAAAAACAGAAAGGAGGAAGTGGAAAGACAAACAAACAAAGGATGAAAAGAATAATGCTGGAGGGAGGACAAAAATGGATGAGAAATAAAAGAAAGTGGACAAACTTGAAAAGAGAGACAGAGAGAGAACAGAGCTGAAAAACGTGAGTGAGAGAGAAAGAGAGAGAGGGCTGGGTTTGGGTGTTAGGATTAATGACAGTGCATTCCTCTGGTATCACTTCCTCTCTTCATTAGAGTGTCAGAAAGCTGTGCACTGCTGTCTGTCATTCAGAAATTCCACACCACTCCCTTACAGTGTGTTACACATAAACATTCACACACTGAGTGGCTTATGATAGCTGGAGGTGAAAGACAAAGATTTTTATCAGCAAATTATGACATACTGTGGCAGTATGTTACATAGTTCAGGACCATTAACATCTCGATTGTCTTCCTTTGCAGCTTTTATTTATTTATTTATTTATTTATTTATTTATATATTTATTTATTTATTTATTTATTTGTTTGTTTGTTTGTTTGTTTATATTCGATTATGATAACTTTTTAATTAGTTTTACATGATATACATTTGTTAGGACCAGTTTAGTATTTTTTTTTTTTTTTTTTGCATCCCTATCAGCTACTTTTTAAATCTACTATTCAAGTGGATAGTTCAGGTTTCTTTTTTTTATCAGCATCAGCTACTTTTTATAATCTACTATTTAAATGGATGGTTCAGTTTAATTTATTTTTAATTTTATAAAATTTTATTTAATCTGAATCAGGTACTTTATTTAAATTTAATATTTAAATGAATAGTTCTGTTTTTTTATTTTACTTCATTTTATCTGTATCAGCTACTTTTTATAATTTACTATTTACATGGATAGTTCAGTTAATTTTTTTATTTTACTTTATTTTATCTGTAATAGCTACTTTTTATAATCTACTATAATAGATCAGGGTTTTATTTATTTTATTTGTTTATTTATTTTTTAATTTTGATTTATTTTATATTTGATTTTAATTTATTTTATATTTTATCTTTATCAGCTAAATTTTTTAAAAATCTACTATTCAAATGGATAGTTTACCCCAAAATTAAAATTCTCTCATCTTTTACTCATGCTCCACGTGTTCCTATGTTGGATTTTATTTTATATAATCAACACAAGAAGAGCAACTGAAGAATCTTGAAAAACTGTAGCCATTGACTTCTATAATATTAGTACAGTAGGTCTATTTGTTGACTTATCGTGCAACTTTTGGAGATGACCTTAATAATTTTTGCCATTGCAATATATATTTACAAATACACAAATGACGTCAAAGCTATTTTACAATGACATTTACATTCTACCTCAAAGGTGTCAAAGTTTGCAATTGGACATTTACCTAATATGATAATAGTATATATAATAGAACTTTTACCTTTTTAACATCAAATTATACCTTAAGAATGATACGTATTTTAAAGCATTTATGGCTACTTGCATTATTAGGCTGTTATAAAATCATTATATAATCAGTGGCATAAAAATATCTTAAAAGGCCTCATTTTATTTTATTTTTTTTACTGTGGATGTCAATGGCTACCGATTCCCAGCATGTTTCAAATTATCTCCTTTTGGGTTCAACAAAAAAGAGACTCATAAAGGTTTGAAAGAACCTGAGGATGAGTAAATTGGGTGAACAATTCCTGTAATGTTAATTTATAAAAACACTAATCATTTAATAGCACCGTTAAATGCAACCATTAGCAGATTTCAAAATGTTATTTGCACAGTGTTTCACATGAACATTCACAAACTGAGTGTCTTATGTTCGCTGGACTTGAACGACGAAAACTTTTATCTCCAGGTCATAATATATTTTAGCAGTATACTATGTTTCATGATCTGTAACGTCTCCACTTTCTCTGTTTCTTTCTCTGTGCAGCCTGTAAGATCGGCAACTACAGAGCTCTAGCCACAGACGGCAGCTGCTCTAAGTGTCCCCTGCACAGCTACTCTGTGAGAGAGGGATCTACTTCCTGTGCCTGTGATAAAGGCTTCTTCAGGTCTGAGACGGACCCTGCATCTATGCCCTGCACACGTAAGTGGATTTCACAGTATCTTCATGGATTAGAATACACTTTGTGCATCACATAACCTTTTTTTTGTATCAGGAGTTGGCATGGGCTGGTATAAGATACTGACGGTATGATAACCTTGGATATAATTATCACTGTGTTGTGATTACTGCTCTAAAAAATGTTTTTTTGTATATATATCAGGGTAAAAAAACACCTTTTCCCCCCATTGAACACCAATATTTTATTTTAAGAAACATTTGAAAGATTTTTTAAATTGTAAACATCTCAGGCTAATTTATAAAAAACAAATCATTGACTTTTTCTCTCTTTATTAGTTTTAAAAACACAGATTTCTTGACAACTTGAAAAGGCATCTTTGGTTATATAGGAAGCCACTGCCCTGTTCAGGTCCAGAGCATGCTTGGATGTTGGTGTATAAGCATGATTTGTTTTTTTTTGTTTTTTTCATGATTTTTGTTATTTGCTGAATTCTGCGCTGACCAGTAGATTTTGATATGTAGGGTCTTTTCCGAAAAAAATAAAATAAATAAATAAATAAAATAAAATAAATAAAATAGTTGTAAAAAAAACACACATTAAAAACGTACATATATCGTAGGAACTGTGTAACAGAAAATTATAGTGGTTTTAAAACCCTAACTTTTCAAAACTGCGGTAAACCTTGAATCTGGTTATTACCCCATGCCTAGTCAGTAATGCAATTTGAATTTGAACTAGAGTTTTAAAATGTTCACCGTGGCTGAATTTGTATAAATAATACAATAAAAAAGGTATATTGTAGCATTATTACGATTTAAAATAGCAGTTCTATATTAAAGTATTTTAGATTGTAATTTGTTCCTGTGATGGCAGTGGAGAATCTTTAGCATAATTACAGCACTATTTAGTGTCTCATAATCATTTATAAATCAATCGAATATGCTGATTTGGTGCATAAGAAAAACATCCATCTCACTTTTGAATTGATGCTTTCTATGCGAGGATAAGTGCAAATTTGTTTTATTGGTTTTGCATTAGATCAGTCCACACCAAAGGCAAAACTGGAACTGTTCTAACAAACTCATGTAAGATAGTGGTGCAAAAATTTGTATACCCAAATAAAAGTGTCCGGATAAAAAATAGACTTACTTTATATTAATAATACTCTTATTTATTAATATTTTTAATAATTAATATTTTAGCATTGTATTACTATATAAAAAATACCTGAATGTACTTAAAGCTATAATTACAGTAGCTATATTTTGGAATATGCGCATAAAAAATTGGTTAATGGAAATGTCAAGATGTGGATAAGTTTTGAAAATGTGCATAAAAAACAAATACACATAACTGAGTAGAGTAAACTTTTTATTCAATAAGAAAAGATGAACATAAATTGCGATTGAAACATTTTTACAGCACAAATTCCAGTTTGTGCATTTAAAAAAAGTCATGTGATGTTGTTAAATTAGATCTTGTGATGAAAAAAATGTGTGTGAATGGACAAACCAGCAGGCTGAGCACCTTGTAAAATATCTGAAATGTTGTTTTAGTCAATCTAAAATGGCTAACCATCTAGTGTTATTACATTATTAACGACCTACAGAATCAAGAGCATCTGTACTTTGCGTCTTATGCCTTTAAATGCCACCCCGTATTCACTACGTGTCAGGATTGCCATCTGAGGCGCAAGATATTTATTATAAAAGAAAGAAAAGATTCACGCAGCTTCTCCTACCACAGCAAATTCTGTTTTTACTGTTGATATTTGGTGCCAGATAATCAGGAAATGACAATTTTGTTCTCTTTGACTCGTTGGATGGAAACGCAGTTTTATTTGCATGTCTTTCTCATCCAGTTTTGCACATAATGTTAATTCTCATTTTTGGATAGAAACATCGCTACTGTTGACTTTAAACCTACACATGCCACTAAACATGTCCCTAAACTTAAACTTATGTACTCATCCTCCCCTTTTTTGCTAAACCTGTTTTAGTTTCTTTCTTCTGTTAAACACAAACGAAGGAATGAGGAATATACTTAGGACTAATATACTGAGGAATGTTAGAAACAACCAGCCAATGACTTCCACACTACTACTACTACTACTACAACATTCTTCATAATGAATTGTTTTGTGTTCAACAGAAGAAATAATATCATAAACATTTTATTTTTGGGAACAATCCGTCAAACATATCCCACCTTAATAGCAACAAAAATATTTTGCAGCACAACATTAACGCAGTAAGTGCACCATACCCAGCAATTACATGTTTTTGACCAAAGTACATAGTAATTAAAGATGCCTAATGTAAAATGTCTAGGGGAAGTTTTAAATAACTACACCCAGTTTCAAAGTTAAGTTGATTTTAAATGTCAGCCTTATCAATTCCTCCTATCAAAGTGTAACGTTCTTGGCTAGCTGAAGTTAAAATGTGGACTAGATTATGCTTGAAGTCAAACGTCTGGCTTTGGTGAGACTAAAAACACAGACGTAAACAAACATGAGTAATCATTAGAACAGGTCAGGGATTTTGAACCGAGGAAGCACGTATCAATCTGGAAAACCAGCAGCGCCTGGACTTGTATCAAACCGCAGCTGTTTACTTCACACACCATTGAAGCTGTTTTCCTAAAGGCTACTTATCAAACTTGGGGACCAAAATAATTCAAATGTGCTTGACAGTGACAAATTATTGGTTGTTTAATTGCAGCGGATGTTATTTTGTGCCTTTTATTTCTGCATTGCCTAATCAAAAAGTTTCATGACTGGTTGAAAATGTGTGTGCGTGTAGTATTGAGTTGGGAGGAGTCCTGTCATGATGAGTAAAGATAGATATGTGTGTCAGACCCTGAGGTGAGTCATAGACTTGATAACAGTGTTCTGCTTGTTAAATAGAGACCTGCACCAGAGCTTCGACTGCCGGCGCGCCACAGCTCTGAGCCGAGACGACAGGGTTAATCGTAAAAACCGAACACACACGTTCAGTCATTCATGACACACGCTTTCTCACACTCAGAAGTTTGCAGACTCAAGCCTAGGGCGGATTTAAAAAAGTGTTACTTGATAAATCTATTCAAGATTTCTGTGAAATGGGTGGCACTGGCATTCAGGACAGATGTGTTCATGGTGTCAGATGTATTGGGCTTTTCTAGATCTGAATGATCAGGGGTGACAGGTTGGGCAGGGGAAGGGCTCTCATGCACCTATCGGGCGTCCATTTTACGTATCAGATTGTCTTTCCAGCTTTCTCCAGCCTCTTTAATTGGAGCTCTCTTTCATAATGCCGTCTGTCGTTCACCTAGAAGCACCCGTCACATACTCAACAGTCAATGCGCTAAAGGCTCACGCAACGAATGAGATAAAAAGGCGCTAGGTAGCAAGGGAAGGAAAAAGCGAAATGCGAGAAAGCGGGGAGACAGACAGCAAAGAGGCGCGAGAGGAACGACCCCATTACGCTTGCTGAGTCGAGTCTCTCTCTCTCACCTTATCGTATTAAATTGCAGTGAAGCCAGTCGACTTAATCAGCTCCTGTCAATCACAGAGCGTGTGGCACCAAGCCACCGTGGGAGCATGCTCACTTCACCTCAGTCTTTTGGGTGGGGATGGCAGCCACATACTTAATACAGGTTAAACAGAGTTTAAAGACCATTTACACTTAAGGCTCAGTCAGGAGGAATTCAATCTAATCCAGACCTGGGTCAGATATGTGTTTGAAGTGTTTAAATGATTCGGAGGATATGGAGATATTTGAAAACGGCTTTCGCCATATGGGGAGATTTGGAGGAGGGATAATGAGACGCATCCTGTTTGAATGTTCGTTCTCTTTGCACACTTCTTTTAGTTTGGCATTGGATGTGTGGCCATAAAACCATCTAAAGATTTAGATCTAAAGATTTTTGCCGGTAAAATGCCAATATTAACCATTGGTGCAATTTTGGATGCGGGACTACTCATTTGTCTGAGAAAGCTAGCAGATAGCTCTCTGCAACTCTCACATGGTCGCCCACTGAAGCTAACAGGGCTGCACCCGGTCAGTACCTGGATTGGAGACCACATGGGAAAGCTAGGTTGCTGTCGGAAGTGGTGTTAGTGAGGCCAACAGGGGGCGCTCAACCTGCGTTCTGTGTGGGCCCTAACGCCCCAGTATATAGATGGGGACTCCATACTGCTCAGTGAGCGCAGTCTTTCAGATGAGACGTTAAACTGAGGTCTCAACTCTCTGTGGTTGTTAAAAATTCTAAGATGTCCTTCGAAAAAGAGTAGGGGTTTAACCCCAACATCGTGGGCAAATTTGCTCACTGGCCTCTGTCCATCATGGCCTCCTAACCATCCCTATATTATAATCGGCTTCATCACTCTGTCTCTTCTCCACCAATCAACTAGTGTGTGGTGTGCGGTCTGGTGCAATATGGCTGCTATCACATCATCCAGGTGGATTATGCACACTGGTGGTGGATGAGGAGATTCCCCCATTGTCTAAAGTGCTTTGAGTGTCTAGAAAAGCGCTATATAAATGTAAGGAATTATTATTAATTAAAAATAGTGGAAGAGATGTTTATATCCTAAGGAGTTAAAAAAGAAGACTCAAACTGTCGTTTAAATGCCAAACTCAAACACATCTACACTGTAAAAAAAAAAAAAAACCTGGTTGGCTTAAATTAAGCTGAATCACATTAACCTTATGAGTTCATTGAACTTATATTAGGCTAAACTGGCTTAAAACAACTTGTGCAACTTATAAAAAAATGAAGTTAGAACTTAATAACTTAGTTTAATAAGTTACAATGACAATATACAAGTTAAGTTAATATATTATATACGTTAATATATAAGTTGCAAATACAAATATACAATATATATATTTTTTACAGTGTAGGTTTCTCTTAAATGAATGATCTGATCTATAACAGCCAGAGTTTATCTTCAAAAACTTTAGGAGAAACTTCTTAATCGAAGTTTATACTGGAGTATAACATAAGTGTGAACTCAATTAAGTCTCCTGAGCAATAAAAGTGCAGCCACTGAGCAATAAAAAGTTCCTTGGGTAGACTTTGTGAGAAAATAAACCTGGGACTGCTGATTTAGAAAACCATATTCATGATGAGAACGTCATTGCTACACCAAAGATGGCAAGCGAGGGCGACCAAATTAGCATTTATGAGATCCCTATCAGCAAGTTGCTCAATTATGGAGATGTAATCATTCTCTCTCTCTTTCTTTCTCTCTCTCTCTCTCTCTTTCCCTCTCTGAGTGTATTTCCTTTTTGCACAGCTAGCACTGCGTCGCCTGTGGTGCTGGTTTGTCATAAATGTAATTATCTTTAAATTCAGCAGCGCCTGGTTAACGAATACACCGCAGAGAAAAACAACGCAAATATACACAAATACACAAAAGCACACAAACAGACTCCTATCTGTCATAGCCTGTAACATCATCTGCCTGCAGTGGCAATAAAAGGGGTGTGTATTTGTTTGCCATTGAAGATTCCCTTGCCAAGGGTGTATTTTGAGATCAATCTCTGCCACAGTCATAATCCTGTTTTGTTTGTTCCAGAACTTTCAGACATCACTGTAACGGAAATGAAGCATAAATCATGCGCTTATTTTGGCTTAGTTTCTCTGACAGTGTGCATTTTTTCCAAAATTGTCTTTTCGTAGAGCCCCCATCTGCTCCTCAGCACCTCATTTCCAATGTGAACGAGACTTCGGTGAATCTGGAGTGGACGGCTCCAGCATCCTCTGGTGGCAGACAGGACCTTGCCTATAACGTTATATGCAAGCGGTGCAGCTCGGACGGTCAACGCTGTCAGCCCTGTGGCAATGGCATCCATTTTTCCCCTCAGCAGCTGGGCCTACGCACTACCCGGGTGTCCATAAATGACCTGCAGGCTCACACCAACTACACCTTCGAGATCTGGGCAGTCAACGGGGTCTCCAAACAGAGTCCTGGACCCGAACAAGCAGTCTCTGTGACTGTTACCACCAACCAAGCGGGTAAGTGTGTGGCTTATGTTCACAAATTATTGTTGAACATGATATTTCCTCTGTCATGACTTCATTAAATACCAGAGTAATATCATCATGTGATCTGGTCGTAGGGTGGTGATGTGTTGAATTTCTCACCACACTCCGATCCCGAACATAGTCATCAACTCAGCAATCAGCTTTCCCTTCTGTGAAAGTTCTCTGTCTTATATCACCACAGAGAAATTTCTAATTACTTCTCGTCTGTGTCTGTCAGAATGGATTTTTATGACATTAAACCGCGTGTCGGGTCAAATTGCGCATACGTACATTTGTTGGCCGTTCGCATTTGTTTGCGCTGGGTGGACTGTTAACTTTTACAAGGTGTTTAATTTCGGGTTCTTGAGAAAGCGTGAGACAGGAAGTGCCTTTTTGTCTGGCTTTGGGGACTGTGTGTGTAGGGCCTCTAGGAGCGGGGTCTTCCAAGAGTCTTTCTCACCATCGTCGTTTTGGTGTGCGCTGGTTGTAATAGCCATCACACCTGTCGCTACACTCTTCAAACAGACCTTCACTCCTCACTGTCTGTTCCTAGCATTTATGGCCCCCTATATTGGGGCTTTGAGCAGGTATTGCTCTACAGCATTCAAGCCAAATATGCAATCCTCTACTTGTGCTTTCATATCAGTATTTTTTTCTGTTTCTAGCCAGAACATCCCAGAATCTACATGCTGTAGTAACACTTTGCAAGCGCAAAGACCATAACAACTTTGTAAGAACATGTATTCAGTGGTTGGAATATCCTAGTACTAAACAGAAATTGCCACACTGCCACTATTGCTCTCAGAAAAAAAAAATGTTAGTTAAGAAAATGTTTTGACCTACTTGGTCTTCATCAGCTCAAACAAGCAATACAAGAGAACCAAGAAAGAAATACAAAAAAGCTTTATCATTTTAACCACATCACACCCGAAACCAATAGCTATCATGTTCAGCCGATCAACAATTAATAAATAATGTTAGAAAAAGAATATATACAAAAAAATAAAAATAAATAAAAAAAACTTTACAAGAACTTAAATCTTTAGGTGACAAAGTATTTAAAGTGTAAATAAAAAATGCTTCATTCTGTAATAAAATTTGACCAATATCACTACTCACTTCTAGATACTTTCACTTGTTCAGAGCTGAGATAAAGTATAAGAACGTAAAGTATTTAAGTTATGTATAAGCTGATTAAAATGAACAGCAATATGAGTCTGTTGGTCATTCAATCATACAGTATGCTATTTCTGTAATCAATACACATTTTAAACACCACTCTGTTTTACCAATACATGCCAAACCACAAGAACATTTGATAATATTGGTTACATTTTAGTGTTACAAGAAATAATTCAGAAATGTCTTAAATTTTAAACTTTTACTTTAAGTAAGGGTGACTAAAAATCTGACATCTATAGTGTGCCTGAAAAGGGATTATTTAAATGCTCTGAACATTGATCACCTCTCAATAACTTAGATAACTTGTTTTAGGTTAGGGCCTAATTTATAGACTTTTTAAATTTTGTTTTTCTTTCTTTTTGTGTACACATTGTGTTTTTCTCACTAGGGGTGGGCGATATGGCAACAACTGCTATCTTGATTAATTCTTTTCCATATTGAACAATAACGATATACATTTGAAGTCAGAATTGTTAGCCCCCCTGAATTATTAGTCCACCTGTTTATTTTACCCCCATTTTCTGTTTAACGGAAAAAAGATAACAGACTAGGCAGGTTAGGGTAATTAGGCAACTAATTGTATAATGATGGTTTGTTCTGTAGACAATCGGAAAAAAATAGCTTAAAGGGGCTAATAATTTTGACCTTAATTTTTATTTTTTTATTAAAAACTGCTTTTATTTTAGCCGTAATAAAAAAAAAGACTTTCTCCAGAAGAAAAAAATATTATCAGACATATTGTGAAAATTTTCTTGCTCTGTTAAACATCATTTGGGAATTATTTTAAAAAGAAAAAATAAATTCAAAGGGGGGCTAATAATTCTGACTTCAGCTGTATATTTCGATATTAGCTGTAAATGCTTCCAGATTTAAAAAAAGTATCCCAACAATGAGATTAGATTGCCATTGTTGCAAATTTCTGCTGTGTGATTGGCTCTTAGATTTGTATAGAGTAAAAAAGTGCAGAGTTTGTCATTGTTATTGTCATAAAGTTTATTGCGATTCGATACTATATTGTTTATCGGCCCAGCCCTAATTCTCACATTGTTGATTGGCTAATTAGGTAGGATAGCTATTGGATTCAGGTATGATGTTGGTAATATGGTAGTAAAACTAAGGTTTTCTTGCATTGCTTTGCTTGAGTCGTTTTTGAGAATTTCTGTAAAAATCTGTAATATACTAGTAGCCAAATAGGCAAGACAAGTTTGTATATATAGCACATTTCGTACACAATGGTAATTAAAAGTGGTGGTGGATGAGGAGATCCCCCCCCCCCCCCCCCCCATTGTGTAAAGTGCTTTGAGTGCCCAGAAAAGCGCTATATAAATGTAACAAATTATTATTATTATTATTATTAAAAGTGCTAAGAAATTAAAAGTATAAGAAATAAAAAACAAAGAATAAAAATTATTTTAAAACAGATTAAAAAGTATTAAAATGTGCTTTAAAAGAATAAATAAAACAGAAAGACATAATCGTGTGATCTGTCAGACATAGCGCAGTGCTCATTCAGTAAAACACCCCTTACAGCCACTCAGAATTTCTTAGCAACTGCATAGCAACATGGTTTTAACACTGTTGTAAATACCCAACATTTCTCTAGGAACTATGTAAGTTTGAGTGGTTACCACTTCACATTGCTCTAGCAACTACTACTACCATAGCAACTGAGCTTAATCTACACTATTGTTTGTATTGTTAGCTACCGCCTAACAGTAATCTCCACACACTCAAAATACCCCTTAAACTGTATAGCAACTTGTTCTAAGCAGTCTAGTAACCAGCAATCATTGCTGTTGCCGACACTCAGAAAAGCTTTGCAGCTGCATAGCGACATGTTTTTCTTATTTTCACCAGGAAATGTTCAAATCAAGTTAATATGGGATAAGTATTAAACACTGATCTGTTTCTAATTATATATATATTTTTTTATCTGTGCTGAAGAGTTGAGCCAGAATCATCCCAGGGTCTGGCTTAAATTCCCCTTGGCAACTGTAGAGTGTCACTGATAAAACCCTAAAGATTACAGATAAGCATGTGCACCCTAGATGACTGCATCAATGGACCTTCTGTAGTAGCAAAGTGGAATTATGAGAGGAGGGAAAGAATCAGAAGCTTTTGTCTGATTCTTATAGTGGATGATATAATATGTGCACTTTGACGATTCTGCTTTTTTTCTGGAAGTTATAAAACTGTAGTTACTATATTTTCAGACGTGCATTGCTTCCAGCGTTTTGTAGTAGTTGTTGTTGTTTTAAGTTTTCTCAGTTTGACAACATATATATCTCATACCTCATCATTGCTTTATTGCAATAGCATATTTGTGTTTCTCTGAAACAGCTGGTGGTTGATGTTCTCTTAGCAACACTAAGAGTTTTCTCTTTGTGTTTTTCTCCGGTTCCAGCTCCCTCTCCAGTTACCACCATCCAGGCCAAGGACATCACAAGACATGCTGTGTCTTTGGCATGGCAACAGCCCGAGAGACCCAATGGAGTCATTCTTGAGTACGAGGTCAAATACTATGAGAAGGTGAGATGATTCATGGGAAAGAAGTGTGCAAAACTTCTGCTTTGAGGAATAGGCCGGCATATGTTGTGTCTTTGATGTTGGCCTAAAGCCCCATGAGGCTTCTTAACCAGAAACGTGGTCAACCATCTTCACCAGAAAGATTGTGATACTTGAGCTATTTAGTTAGGCAATCTGTCCTGTTTAAGAACTCTTTTAGACAGGTTCCTCATTCTCACAGCCTGAGGATAAGGATTTACTTTTGGTTAATGTAATTCAGACATAGTGACATGACTTTTTTTGTCAGGCCTAAGAAATGGGAGAGATATTCTTTGAACATTTTAAGTTGTTGCAATCAACGTAAAGCCTTCACTTAAGTCCTTAACATGGGCTGTATGATGTCAGGCACATCAAAACCAGAGAACTGCATTTTAGTTCATAGGCAGACCAGACTCACTCACACTCGCAGTAGGAGTCTGGTGAACTGGCGGGTCAGAACAGCATGGGGTGGATGGACAGATCTGGGGTGGAGCATGTAGGCCGTTGGGATAGAGAGAGGATAACAGCGTTCTCCTCTCTCTGCTCCTGCTGTGTCTTCCTCTGGCTGACTGATTACAGATTGCAGCCGTGGTCGTATTCCTTTCCCTTACACACTGAGGTTTTCCATTGCAAACACATTCTGACACACACACAAAAGTCACAAAGGTTCCTCTTTTGTGATCCAACAATTACAAGCCAAACATTAGGGGATATCGAAAAAACAATTAAACTTTCGTTCCTTTGCTTGTTTTGGTTCAAACTCAACATCATTTAAGTGGTTTGGATGTAGTGATGAAACGGGAATTTTGAACAAGCAAATTCAGGTTACACTCTAGGGAGCAAGTGAAAACAAAGATGGCATACTTGTTTTTGTACAACAAGGCTGCGGTTTTCCCTACAAAAGCCTGGCTGAGTTTTCAGTGTCAGATGCTAAACAAATTCTTTTGCCTTTTATTTTATGAGAGGTTGTTTCCAAATAAAACAATCCTAATAACAAATCTAACACACTGGTTCAACATTTCCTGTTTTGCTTATCCAATCAGGATCAAAACGAGCGCAGTTATCGCATAATGAAGACTTCGTCCCGAAGCGCTGAGATCAAAGGCCTGAGCCCACTCACCTCCTACGTGTTTCATGTGCGTGCCCGCACCGCTGCTGGCTACGGAGAATTCAGTGCCCCTTTTGAGTTCATGACCAACTCAGGTAGGTTTCCTTGTGCGTGTTACAGAACCAACAATGGCAAGTCTTTGTTCCCACAATTAGAGACCTGTGTTGAGTTTTAGGGTGGATCACCCATTCATCCGGAAACTATTTCTCTAAAGTAACATAATTATAGCTTTTGTGTATGTTTTCTTTTTCTTTACGATAGTTTCTTTGTTTGCTCACTACAAAGTCGCTGGTATTTTTAAAAAGCAGTTTAAAGCAAACTCTGTAAAGAGTGGAATGTTTTAGAGCTTTGATTCTAAGTTGGTTCAGAACCTTGAAAGAAACAGAATTTGTTCCTGACTGATGAAGCTAAGCTCTTCAATAAGAATTTAAAATGGCTGACAAGTTTGATCTGACACTTTACATGAAAATTATACATTTGATCTGAACTTTAATGTTGTTTTTTCTCTCAGTTCCTTCTCCCATCATCGGGGACGGAGCTAACTCCACCGTGCTCTTGGTGTCTGTGATCGGCAGTGTGATTTTGTTGCTCATCTTCATCGGCGTCTTCATCATCAGCCGCAGGTAAGCCACCTGACCCAACTGGGTGTCAGTCGTCTCACAGATACTGTCTGAAATAGGAAGAATTCCTCCGTCTCTCCCTCTGTCCCTGTGGGTGTCTCCATCACCTCTCCCTCACCCCGTCTGTCATCCTGTATCAGTCTGTCTATCTGTTGTGCTCCTGCTGTCTTCCTCTCTCTCTACCTGTCCATCAGTCTGGTTCTCACGGCTCTTCCTCCTTTTCTTTCCCACTCTCTCACTCTTTTTTTTTCCTGTGGTGTAGCTAGTGGTATTGTGACAGACCGTTGGCAGCTCTGCCTGATTAGTCTCCGCTGTGCTGCTATGGGTCTCTGTGCCGTGAGTGTCGAAATCCGCAAGGAGCACGTAATGTTCCCCGGGGAGGCAAGATACACGGCAGGACACCATATGTACGCATACATGTACGTCTGTGTACCGTACTTAATCAGAGCAGCTGTCATACTCCCACGGGCAAGATGTCATGGTTCCTTTACCTTAATCAAACAACTTTTCTTGCCAAACTCTCAACCAACTGCACTTTTATTCTACCACGGTTGTCATTAGCTATGTTTCCCTTTCTAAAGGCCCTCTTTTGTGTCCCATCATAGTTTCCCAAGACTTAGGTGAGAGTGTCTATTCCTGCTGTGGTTGACATTGTATCATTATCAACGAAGATAATCATCTCTGCATCCTCAAAGTTCCCGAAGAGAGGCATCACCCTCTTCCAGACTGCAAATAACAACCCAGTCTAATGAATAGGGCTTTTGTTTTGGCCAGGGAACCATTAAGTACTTCCTCAGTAGAGTCCTTTAGTGGAAGACAAGACTATACCTCTGAGTAGCTCTCACCTTTGGTCCGCTCCTCTCTACCCTGAGGGGACACCAACCTCTCAATTGTGGAGACAAGCAGGGGGGCTACAGTCCTGCACAAAGCTGTGGGTTCCATGCTTTGGTACTTGGATAGCACACCTGATAATCTTCTTGTTCCTAAAAATAAACGTGCACCGGCCGCTCAGGCTGATGGCAAGGCCTCCTCCCACGGAGGCATGGCCCCCTGCAGGCAGAGCTATTTCCAGCTTCTGGAGAGCATTCAGGCGTTAAAGCCTGGCCCTTTCCTCCTGTTCTACCTGTGGATATGCCCCTCTCCCTCCTTCTTGCCTTATCTTCCTTCACTAGCCCCGAACCTTTAGGGCCTTTGTCAACACCAGAACGCACTAGAAAAACAATAACAACAGTTGTGCATTCCTGACGGAGCCCCCTTCTCTATATGCAGGCAGGTGACCCCATCCTCAGCAGGGAGTCTTGGGTTAAGGCAATGTCCTCTGTGGTGTTGTTATCCATTCCATTGCTTCTCCTCTGTCACCTGCCCCCACACCGAAAGGTCAGTGGTTAGGCCCTAAGGGGTCAGCAGGTGATTGGGTAAAATGGGAACTATGAGAGCAGTGCATACTAGTTCCTCTGTGTCATAGTGAACAGGCGGAGAGTGATGTTTTTTAAGGGAGGGGTAGAGGTGGGGTGGCTTCAAATGGGTTTTTGTTGCCGTTTTGGTCACTTGATGAGTTTGTGTTTACTCATCTGTCATGCCCTTTCCTCATTCCTGTTTGTTCTTTATCTGTCAATCTCTAAATGATTTTAAACAAAAGGCCAAGGGATTTGGTTCATGAACTGTCCTTATTTCTGCTTTGATGGTGTTCTTGCTCTCTGCAGCTTTATTAACTTTACAGAACAGACTTTTAAGGGCCTATTTTCATATAGAAAGTTAAAGGGTTATTAATTTTTTCATCTGCAACAATGACTGAGCTGGCCCACCATGCTTTTCAAATGTGCTAGTTAGTACATGTACAGTATGTTTTGTAGAAATCTGATTTGCTTGAGTATTTTTCTTTAGTTTTTCAAAAGTGACTTTAAAATCTCAGGAGATTAATTGGTGTGTTCATTCATGTTTCTAACCATCATTTTCAGATATGCATACATATACAGTTTTATGCAAAAGTTTGGGCACCCCACTGTGGCTGCATAATTATGTGCTCTTTCTTTATAAGAGAAAATCACAGTGAAATACCATTCAGAGAAAGCTAGATAATGCTCTGTTTTTCAGACCGAAATACGTAGTGTAGCAGTATTGAGATGTGTGAAATTGAAAAATAGGGTTTGCAAAAGTTTGGATATCCTCTCTTTTGTGTGGATTTCCAAACAAAATTCTGGAACAAGATCATGCTCCCTACTGAAAAATATGGTGGGGGGTGAATCATGCGGAGTGGATATGTGGCAAGTACAGGTAATGGAAGAGTTAAGGGTTGCATGGATTCCACTCAGTATTAGCATATTCTGAAAAATAATGCTCAGGAGTCAGTTAAAAGGCTGAAGATACGGCAGGGTTGGATGTTTCAGCAGGACAATGACCCAAAGCACAGTCCCAGATCTACCAAAGAATTCATGCTCAGAATTCAATGTTCTAGAATTGCCATCCCAGTCCCCCAGAAAAGGACCGTTCACACTCTGCAACAATCAAACCTGACTGAACTGGAGAAATTTTGCAAGAAAGAATGGTCCAAAATGCCTTCAGCATGAACTCAGGGACTTACAGTATCCCTGGCTATAAGAAGCATCTACAGGCTGTTATTTCAGCAAAAGGTGGCTGTACAAAAGATGTTCTGTTGGGGTGCCCAAATTTTTGCACTTGTTTGTTTTTGTTATGACTTGTATGGCATTGCATCTGTTGATTAAATAAATCCCTTGGGTATAAAATATATCCAAATAAAATCGCTGGTTTGAAAGGTCAACAGGCTATGGCTTGCAATTATAAAAATTATCAGAGGTGACCAAACCTTTGCATAAAACTGTATAAGTATATTCAGATATAATTGATATAAACAAAACATCAAATATTGTATTAGTATCTTTAATTAAATTAAAATCTTCTGTTATCTCTGTGTGTTAATAGGAGAAGCAAATACAGCAAAGCCAAGCAGGATTCTGATGAGGAGAGGCATTTACACCCAGGTAATTCAATGACCACACACTCACACACATACATTTCATACATATGTATCAAAGAAATCAAAGAAAAAGTTGTAAAAGAGAAGAGAAGTTTATGTTCTGATTGTGGTGGAGGACAGACAGAAGCCAAAAAGCGAGGGTGGAGAATGGAAAACAGATGTTGTATATTCATCATGTTGTCTGTCTGCCAGCTATACACCCCTCCTCTTCTCTCAACCTTCTAACATGTGGGCACCTCTCTCCATCTCTCCGCAGGAGTCCGGATCTATGTGGACCCCTTCACATACGAGGACCCCAACCAAGCAGTCCGTGAATTCGCTAAAGAAATCGACGCCTCCTGCATCAAGATCGAAAAGGTCATCGGCATTGGTGAGCAAACGACCTGCTGTTTTCCTTTCCGTGGGTCTCAGACTGAGTGTTGCTCGACCACATCTGTAGCGGTGAAATGTTAGCCCACCGTTCCAGCGATATCTCACGGGTCATTATGTACCACAGACATTTCTGATTTGAGCCTGGTTTTTCCGTTTAAAGGAGAATTCGGAGAGGTGTGCAGTGGCCGTCTCAAGATGCCTGGAAAGCGTGAGATCTGTGTGGCCATAAAAACCCTAAAGGCAGGATACACCGACAAGCAAAGGCGGGATTTTCTGAGCGAGGCCAGCATCATGGGCCAGTTTGACCACCCTAACATCATCCGATTGGAGGGAGTTGTCACTAAATGTGAGTCCTTCGAGTGTGTTGAATGTGAGCGAGCTACTCCTTTACTCTAACCACATCCCCTCAAACTGATTTGTTCTGGTTTTGCATATCTTTTGCAAAATGTGACCTTGTCAGTCTTACAGTTCAAGCTGTGTGCTCCAGCCATCTATCATGAAAAACACTTTCACTAGTTCAATTGAGATATCTGAACCTGTTTTAAAAGTAAATTCTAAGCTTTATTGGTTATAACTAATCTTTTTTTTTTCTTTATGAGCCCTCAATGATTATTGAATTTGTTATATTTATTGTTGAAAATTAACTCTTTTGCAGTGACAAAATAACTCGTCAATTAAGAGACAACATATACATTGCCATTGAGTTTTTAAGTAAGTCCATGTTTTAGGTATATTATGGTAATGGAATCCCTAGCACATGTCCTAAGTGAGTTACGGCAGTGGCCCCTAAACTTTTTATCACTGTGGAGCGGTCAACGCTTGCATATTATTTTACCGTGACTCGCTAGGCGACCATCGATTTATTTTATTATTTTTTTTCAGAGTATGAAAAGCTGACAATACTTTGAGACAACTTTTACTTATGGACAAAATTAAAAACTGCAGTGCAGTGTTTGTGTGTTCTGTGTTTGTCTGAGATAATTAGTCTACTGCAGGGGTCACCAATCCTGGTCCTGGAGGGCCGGTGTCCCTGCAGGGTTTAGCTCCATCTTGCCTCAACATACCTGCCTGGATGTTTCAAGTATACCTAGTTAGACCTTGATTAGCTTGTTCAGGTGTGTTTGATTAGGGTTGGAGCTAAAATCTGCAGGACACCGGCTCTCCAGGAACAAGTTTGGTGACCACTGGTCTACTGAAATGTATATATTCCATTTAAAATATGAAGCTGACTGATCAGTTCTTGTCATACCTGTCAACATTGGGATATGAAAATAAGGGATAATCGCCACCACCCTCTGCCCCCCTCCCCCCAAGAATCCCCAAATTACTAAATATGCTCATCTGGAGCTGTTTCATTGTAAATGAATAGTTGAAACGATCAGTAATATATTGTATTATTTTTATTAACAAAGGATATAATAAATAGTATACATTAGAAAAAAGCTGCAAATAAATTAAACAATTTATCCTATTAAAATTAATAGCTATTGTAAAGAAATTGAATCAAGTTATCAAATCTCATTAATCTTTTCTTCACTGTATAATTTAAACATTCTGATTAAAGAGCGGTGATGCAGTTACGTAATAGGTAGTGCTGTTGCCTCATAGCAAGAAGGTCGCTGGTTCGAGCCTCGGCTGGGTCAGTTGACGTTTCTGTGTGGAGTTTGCATGTTCTCCCCGCGTTCACATGGGTTTCCTCCGGGTGCTCCGGTTTCTCCCACAGTCCAAAGACTTGCGGTACAGGTGAATTGGGTTAGTTAAATTGTTCTTAGTGTATGAGTGTGGATGGATGTTTCCCAGAGATGGGTTGCAGCTGGAAGGGCATCCGCTACGTAAAACAAGTGCCAGATAAGTTGGCGGTTCATTCCGCTGTGGGCGACCCCGGATTAATAAAGGGACTAAGCCGAAAGGAAAATGAATGAATGATTAAAGAGCACCGAACAAATCTCTCATTTAGATTTTTCATTTAATTATATGAAATAAGAGAGGTGTCACGTAAAAAATGCACAGTTCTATAATTAAATCATTTAGTTGCTTTCCTAACTGTTTATGCTCATTTTAGACTAAATTTGTTGTGTTTAAAAGAAAACCCATTAATATGTCCGACAGCCAATCACCGCTTACAAAAACTGTTTTGAGGATTGCATAGGAGCGGTGCTTGTAATGGAAAGGAAGGGAATCCTGCCATTATTATATTTATTTCAAATTGTTCTTAAAGGGCCATGAAACCCCCTCGTTTCAGCAGGGTGTTTTCACACCTCTACTTTGAAAAAAGTCAGAAAAGTAGCTCTGTTTAGGGGGGAGTGTCGGAGGAAGAAAAGCGGCTTGGTATGGGAGTGTCTATTTGGGCGCGCTGAATTTCAGAGTCAAAACACACACCCACAGCGGACAATGTGACTGTGTTTACATGGACATCTGTAGTCGAATTATTTGCCAAATTATTAAATGGTGGACTTTAACTGCAGTTTGGCTCTTTCATTCAGAGAATTCATTAATGTCCCTCCCGACAAACGTGATATTTGATTCGAGGCGCTGCTCTAAGCGTGTATTTTTCATGCAATGTTTGATACCGCACGGCGAATGAGAGAAAAAAAAAACTCAGCATTTCCCGGAAACTTAGATACACACGGCAGGTTGTGTCAGAAAGCCGCGTGTGTTATTCCGGTCACAAAATCCAACACGAGGTTATTGTTTGGTTGTAACTGTTAGTGCTAACTATTGCACTCGGTTCAATAGTTTGTTTGATACGAACTGAATAAACAAAGAGCACTGGTCGCTCACTTACCAAATCTGTAGAGACAGGACAATCACCAGCAACTAGAGCCGCGTCTTTATTTAGAGGAGACTACAAACTGGATCTCAGCGTTTGCAGATAAGAACAGCTCTCAGGTAAACAATAATCCTCCTTAGACACGCAAGTTATTGTTGTCGCGCGTCGCGTACACTGTTAATCCACGCGTGAGTCTGCCCTCTCACAGAGAGAAAATGAAAACGAAACTTAACTGCAGCAAACTATAAAAGCAACACTTCACGCTTGTTTTGCCAACACAACGTGGCGTCTTTGCCGTCTACACTGTGATAGTAATGAATATTAATGAAGTTGCACAATAGAGCGCGCTGATTGGTTTGAACCAAGCCTTACTCATGCATTAATGCAACACACTGTAAGACGTAATAAGACTCACTCTGGCACAGACGCCCAGTCTGCACGCTGGAATACACGCTATTATGTCATGACCGTGACGCAGCTTCAAAAATCCGTTTCAAACAGGAAGTACGAATTTGCTTGAAATAACGCAAAAGCAACCAATTTACACTTTTTAGTGAAATATAGGTGTCCTAATAGTGTTTTTAGCAGTGTGGGACACATATACGACTGTCAACAGCTCAAAAAATGTGTTTTGGTGTTTCGTGACCCTTTAAGCCTAAATAAAATGAAAGCAAGGGGCATCCCTAGGTGGTTTGGAGGTATGGGTTATGCATAGGTGGGATTGGCTCTTTAATGTTTATTGCCACCCTTTGGTTGAAAATACAAGAGAAAAACCTTTAGGAGATGATAGCGGGATAGAATTGTAAAACATGGGAGAATCCCGGGAAAACAGGAGGTTTGACAAGTATGATTCCTCTTGTCACATGACTTGCTGTGCCTCAACTAGGTGCCTCCATTGGAATAACTTGCATAGAAAAGACGTGATATGTTAACAGTCGCCGTCATTTGCGATCTCCAGCAGTTGATCTTCTTGCACAGACATGCTGGATTCACCTGATTTGTTGACAAGCAGGTTGCGGATCCATTCCTTGGCAGTTCATGGGTCTTTCACATTGTGTTTTCCTCTTCGCAAAGAAACTTTCCAAAGACATTTGTTTTGTTTTTTTTACTCATTTTGCTTGTGAGTTACATTTTGGTACTCAAGCGACCGAGATGGAGCTGAGAGAATACAATCATTTTTTCAAAATTAAAGATCGTTCAGACTCAGATAAATAATAAAATGCAAATAATTAATGATTTCTTGTGCAGCCTGCTACCAATTGATCCATAGACCAGTATCGGTCCGCACACTGGTGGTTGGGGACCACTGAGTTACTGGACATCTGGGTCTCCTGGGTGCAAAAGATAAGATGATGTAAATGTAGGTGTAGGTCAGATTGTATTTAAAAATGAAGAATTGAACAACTCTACTTTGGATAAATGAAAATTCTTTATTTTTGTTTAAAAAGAGAGGCATGGTCTTTCATTTTGACTCATTATATGGTCATACAATCCGAGCATGGCCAAATATACTTAGGACTGTCAGATTTAGGTTAAAAAAAAGCTCTAAATTGCATACAATGACTGGAAACTTAAAAAAAAAAAAAAAAAAGAAAAGCAAGGAAAGAGTTTAAAAAAAACTATAATAAAGTGTAAAATAAAGTGTAAACATCTTCTAACATAACTTTATTTATTTATTTATTTTTGACAATCACCAAAAAACATGTCTACATAGTTGACTTGAACATAAAATACTTATTAGGAAAATTGTTGTTTGCTCTGCTTATTTTGCCACCCATTGAAGCTCTGCTGTAGAGCTGATGGCTTTCATTTCTTTACCTTTTATCCATAATAAGCCTAATAATTCTTTGGTTGACATTTTTACTGTCGAACCCTCCCTTCTGTTTGCGTCTCAAAAAATCTTTTGGATCTCTCTGAAAAAAATGACGCACTCCTTGTTCCCTAATTTGATGAAAATCAACCCTGTCTTTTATAACGCACCCTTCCCTGTACCAGAATGGAATCTTGGCTGGCTGGCAGACGTGAAATCAAACCTTTTAATAACTCGCTATTGATTGAAAGTTGACTCTCCCTCGTGTGTGTTTCAAAAAACCTCCAGAGTGTAGTTGTGGCGGTCCCTCGCCATGCATAACAAATATGCAGGATACCTGGTGTGTGTGTGTGTGTGTGTGTGTGTGTGTGTGTGTGTGTGTGTGTGTGTGTGTGTGTGTGTGTGATTTGCATTAGATGACTTTGCATTTGACAGCTGGACCGAAGAACACCCTTAGTGTCTTCTCACGCTGATGGCTCTTGTACTGTCTGGCAGCTCTGGAGCTCTGCAGAAACACAAAGATGAAGATGTGTGTGTGTGTGTGTTTTAGTTTGTTTTGGTAGACTGCATGGGAGAGATCTGCATTCATATGCAGGGGCTTCTGCAGACATGTTACAATCCCACAATCCCACTGAGTCACATCTTTTCTCCAGACAGCCCTGGCAAATCCCCCCATCCTCTCTGATGCATTAGTGAAGACAATGCCAACAGATGGGTTACAGAGAAAGAAAGGGAACAGGAGTAAAACAGAGAGCAAAGACAGAGACATAAAGAGCAAGAGAGAGAGAGATGACTTATGGAAAAAGAAATAAGAGGAACAGTTACACTTACTTTGGTGACTTTTGGAATACTATATTAAATTACACTTTTAATTTGAAGGAGCTGGTCGCTATTGAATTTGTTTACTGCACATACACATCCATTTGACTTATTTTATTTTATTTTTACTCACTTTCCTTCGGCTTAGTTCCTGTCGAAGGGGTTGTAGGGATTGCCACTGCAGAATAAACTACCTTTTATTTATTTTCATTTTATTTTAGTTATTTATTTTGTTTTTACTCACTAACTAGTTTCTGCCGAAGGGGTTGCCACTGCGAAATAAAATGCCTTTTTTATTTTATTTTATCTTATATTTTATTATTATTATTATTATTATTATTATTATTATTATTATTATTATTAATATACATTTTATTCAATCCTTTGTTTTTTATTTTTTAAAATTAAAAAAATAAAAATAAATTGTAATTTAATTTATCATTTTTAATCATTTTCCTTTTGCTTAGTTCTTGCCGAAGGTGTTGTCACTGCGAGATAAACTGGCTTTTATTTATTTTTTATTTTATTTAGAAAATTATTTTATATATATATATTTAATTTTAATTTATTTTATTTTAAGTTATTTTATTAAATTTTGTTTTATTTTTACTCACTTTCTTTCGGCTTAGTTCCTGCCGAAAGAGTTGCAGGGATTGCCGCTGTGGCAAACTGTCTTTTATTTTATTTTAATATTATTATTTTTATTTTTTTTATAATATTAATTTTTATTTACTGATTTTATTATTATTATTATTATTTTTACTCTCTTTCATTCAGCTTAGTTCCAGACGAAGGGGTTACGATTGTGAATTTTTTTTTTTTTTTACATTATTTAGCATACACTTCATGCCAATATTAAAAAAAAAAAAAAAAAAAAAAAAACTTATTTTATTTTAAATCAGTATAGTTTAGTTTGTTTTATTTGATCTGGAATGTCTTTTTTTCATTGTTAAGCATAGACTATTATTTGTTGTTTTAATACAGTATTTAATACAATTTCATATTAATTTAATTTACTTTATAACTTTACTTTTACTTTATTTACTTAATATCATTGTATCCTTACTTAATATCATTAAAATTAATAATTAAGATTTTTGTAGTTTTATTTTATTTTTTATTTTCACTTATTTTATTTAATTCTATTGCAGTGGCATATACTGTACAATTTTTATTTAATTTATTTTATAAATTATTATTTTTTATTTTGTTTATTGTAAGTGACAATAAAAATGCTTGATCCCAAATATGATCATGATTATTTTCCCCTTTATACCATGAATGCTATTGAACCAGCTTTGTATGAAGCGTTAGACTGCTGCTGTTTATTATTAGCAGCCCTTCTCCCATAATCCTCAGCATGGCACAGCAGAAGTAGTATCTTCAGGATAACTGTTCTTGCAAACACACAATGGCAGCCCTCTCTCATAGCCTACGCCTCCAACCGGGCCAATTAAACCTGTTAAATAAATTACTAATGATGTAGAAATTGTCCTAAATAAATAAAGACGAAATGCCCCTAAGCCTTGGAGAACGAAAGAGAAACAGGATGCCAGCCGTCTCTGCAGAAAAGCATTCACAGACGGGCTTGGTGGGCGCAGTCTTTTATACGCTGGCATTAAATGCAAGATTGTATTTGCATAATGAAGGCACCGCTAGAACACTGAAATGATTCCTCTGAGGTGAAGTGTGTAGGTGTGTGTGCGCGTTTGCCATTGTCCTCTATTGTGAAGCCCCTGCGCGCCTTGCTTTGGGCTCCGTGAGAGGGGCTTGTGTTGCCATAGCATCGCCTTGTCTCGGTACTGACTGGCAGGTAATGTGGGCATCCAGCCCTGATAGCCTCCAGCAATGGCCACATTCAGTAAATAAACCCACACAGAAATCCCACTCGCAAACAAGAGCGCAGAGGAAGAGAGAAGGGGGAGTGTGAGAAAAGTGAAGGGGCTTGTGGACGGACACTTCAGGCCTTGATTAGGAAGTGTCATTCAAGTCTGCTTGTTAATTTGTGACGTACTGTATGGAATAATGTTTCTGGGTTCAAGCCTTTACTCATTTGAATTGAGAAACAGCCATCTTAATAGCCATTTTTGACCACTGTTTAGTCATATCACACATTAAAGCAATTCTTCTTGAAAATAGATTGATTTTACAACTACCCAACAGTTAAACAGTTGTGTTTTACCATTTTTTAAGAAATTTAGCCGGTCTACTGGTCTGGCGGGAGCACTTTTAGCTTAGCTTAGCATAAATCATTGAATCACACTAGACCATTAGCATTTTGCTCAAAAATGACCAAAGAGTTTCAAAAATGTTCCTTTTCAAAGCTTGATTCCTATGTAGTTGCATCGTGTACTAAGACAGACAGAAATGTTTTTAATTATCTAGGCCAATATGGCTAGGAACTATACTCCCATTCTGGCATAATAATCAAGGAATCAGAAGATCAGCTGAATATATTTTAAAAAATGGTAAAACACAACTGTTTAATCAATTTATCTCATTGTCATTATTACTTGCGTCTACTACTTGCATCATTTGTGTTGCTTTACTCTCATTCATAATTCTCATGTGTAAACTCATGGGATAATCGAATTCATCGGTTATCGATAATCGGTTCATCGAATGCTTATTGTCAGAGTTTAGCTGGAATTAGTAGGTCATCAGGGTACTTCTCGCCTACTGTTTCTCGAATACTAGGAATTCGAACATGCTACTGAACTGGATATTGTTTTTGACTATGTATTAGGGAAATGTGGGATTTCAGAGTCTTTAAGTCATTTTATTTTACCAAAAATCTGTAAAGTAATGCCTTTAATTCCACACAGTAAAGTTGCTAGGCAATGACTGAAACCCATTGAAACAGCGGTAATTGGTTTTATTCAAATTAAATAAAAGACAGCAATGTTTGGTTGTCAAACAGGTTTAAATAGATCTTTAGTACATTTATCACTACCATATATTGTTCGCTTGTAGAATCTGATAGCTTGTTTGGACTCTGAAAGTGTGATGTGCAACATCAGACTTAACAAGCGGATGTGCTGATGTGTGAAGATGTAAAACACATATCAAATGTTTGCTACTGAAGGCGAATGATTGAAGCAGATAATTGGCTCAGTACACCGATTTACAAACACTGATTGGTTCGGAGGACAGACTGCAGCCAATCAGACACTATTATGCAACTATGTATTTGCAGCTGGCTTTAATATTGCATTCAGCTCAATGAAAGTATAGAAAGATACATTTTGGAAAGTGATTTATAAACTATTACAAGCCATCAGGCATATTTAGAACAAGAGTCAATTGATTGTATTAAATGATGTCATTTAATGATGTTACTTAATTGTCACATTTGACTTAAATGTATTCAAATCTTCTCATTTTTATTTCTCTGCACAGGTAAGCCAGTTATGATCATCACAGAGTACATGGAGAACGGATCACTGGATGCTTTTCTTAGGGTATGTTTTATTTTTGATTTTTTTCCATGCATATTCTTTTGACCATATGGTATTTTACATTTAAGAGCATTTATACTCTATAAAGTATACTCTATACTTTATATTAGTAGGGTTGTCACGATACTGGAACTTGGTACCAATCAATACTAAAATTTTTAAAACGTCAATTTCCCGCTAACGTTTGAGCACTGTCAAGCGTGTTCTTAAACAGCACTGATTTTCCATTGTGTTCAACAGGACTCAACAGGACTGACTGTGATCGAATGTGGTCATCGGTTCATCGAACTCATCACCCCTTGTTTACTGCGTGTTACTACACATACAGGCACACTGGATCGTTTTAAATCCGTGATTTATCAGCGGATTGCTCGTATGTCAGCTGTCGTAGACAAACCAGCTGATTGACGTGACTTTTGAAATGCCCCAGTGTCCCTGTATGTGTGGTTACACTCAGTAAACAGCGGTGAGTTTGATGAACTGATGACCTTCATGGCCAATCACATGGCCCATTTTCACTGAGTGTTACGTTATGGTACGGTTCAGTTCAGTACGCTTTTATGGCCGAATCCACTGTCAAAAGGTGCCTAAAAGCAAACCGTACTGTTCCACTTTTTGGGTACCCTTTGCAAAGGATACCTAGCACAACAAAAGGGTACCAAAAGGCGGAGCAAGATGCGCAGCTGAACGCTTTTGGTTTACAGAGATATGTCACTTACTCGTGCAACAAGCTAGAATGAAAACAATCGAAGCGCCATGTTTTAAATACACAGCCGAGACAATACATCGCAATAATATATACAGATAATAACGAGCCATGGTCTACCCGAGCTCAAACAAATCTTGTCATCATCTTGACTCCTAACTATTATCATCACCTTTTAGACTATTATGAACTCAGAATGACGGAATTACTCTCTAGCAGAGGTTACATGTGCTGGTGAAGATTAAAGATACAGATGAGAGGATTGCACTGACCGTGGACTATATGTTGCGTGTTGTTTTTGAATCCAAATAAGGACTAAATGTATGCTGTGTGTAGTTTTTCTGTAATTGGTAACATATTGGAGACTGTAAGGGGCTGTGAGTGTTCATATATGTTGCATTTATTTATTTATTTATTTTATTTTATTGCAGACATTACAGTAAGCTTTACTTTGACATTTCCTCAAGCGAGAATGACATTGACTGAAACTTTCTGTCATAAACCACGCCCACCAAAAGAGTACCATTGGTACCCTTTTAGCAGTGGAAACGCAAGCCTAATAAAGGTGACCTGTATCGTACCGTACTGTATACCACTCAGTGGAAATGGGCCATTATTCAAGCATTTTGAAGCAATAACAGCAAAAGCCCATTACTATGAATACTATAAATCCACTATCAACTTGTGAACAGATCTGCAACAAACACACATCTTAATACCAATTTTAAATGAGGCCTTTGGTACTCTCTTGTACTGTATTAACTTAATTCATTATATTAAATGTCTTTTAACCTCTCCACAGAAGAATGATGGACGGTTTACAGTGATTCAGCTGGTGGGCATCCTGCGAGGCATTGCTTCAGGAATGAAATATCTCTCCGATATGAGCTATGTCCATCGTGACTTGGCGGCTCGCAACATTCTGGTCAACAGCAACCTGGTGTGCAAAGTGTCCGACTTTGGCATGTCTCGAGTTTTGGAGGAAGACCCAGATGCTGCTTATACCACCAGAGTAAGTTTGACGCTTTGTACTTGTGTTTGCAACCATAACACAAGCTCTCTAACCCAATCATTCCCAGCATTTAACCCGCATGTGCTTATGAAACTGCCAGTATCTTTTCCAATTAGAATCAAAATTTTTCAATCAAACTAACTCCCAGTATGGAACGCTGAGTGTGCGTTTGCGAGTGTGTGCATGCGTGTGTGTGATTAACCCCCATGCATGTGTTTGCTATCTCTTTTGAAAGGAAATAACAGGAACCTATCAATCACAGGGAGGCAAGATACCCATTCGCTGGACGGCTCCTGAAGCCATTACTTACAGGAAGTTCACCTCTGCATCTGACGTCTGGAGCTATGGCATCGTCATGTGGGAAGTGATGTCATATGGAGAGCGGCCATATTGGGACATGAGCAACCAGGATGTAAGTGTTTTTTAAGGAACAGACAAGGTTGATTTGTGTTTAAAGTGTTGTGTTAAATGTTTTGGTTTGGTTGTTTCTCTGTTTTAGGTGATAAAGGCCATTGAGGAAGGCTACAGGCTGCCTCCTCCCATGGACTGTCCAGTTTCTTTGCACCAGTTGATGTTGGATTGCTGGCAGAAAGAGCGCGCAGAAAGGCCAAAGTTCAGTCAAATTGTCAACATGCTGGACAAACTCATCCGCAACCCTAACAGCCTGAAAAGGACAGGAGGAGAAATAGCCAGGTAATAAATTCAATCTCAAGTTCAAGTTGCTTTATTAGTATGATATTTAGGACAGTATTGCCAAAGCATTTCAGATATGTATTAAATATGTAATATCAACATCATCAAATGAGTAAAATATACAGCAAATGAGAAATAAATGACAACAAAATTAATAAAGCAGACAATATCTCTAAAATGCATATTTATGAATAATTAGAATAAAAAGTGTATATTATATAAATAAGTCAAATGAGTTGATTGACCCTTTCTAATGATGTACATACATTTTGCAGCCAATTTAAAATATCATTTCATCCTCTCCATGTTTTTTTAAATCAAATTTTTAAAATCTTTTTAGATTAAAGAATCTATTATTTACTTTGTCTCTGTGGCTGTGAATCCAAGCAGAAATTAGTCTTCAATAAAAGAGTAATACAAAAACCCAACAACTTTAGAAAGCAAAAGTTGACCCCCGGACATTTTAGAAGATTTAGAAACACCGGCCAGACGTAATTTTAGGCCGCAAAAAGGCACATCTCTTTGGGTCTCTGCAGACCATGTGAGACTGTCTGAGTAAGTGTTGTTGACAGTTCTCGCTCACATACAATGAGCAGAACGAAATGTGTTGGGCAGGAAAAGATTTTTTTATTTTTTTTGGCTTAGTTCCTTTAAGTCCCCATTAATCAGGGGTTGCCACAGTGGAATGAACTGCCAACTTATCCAGCAAATGTTTTACGCAAGAGATGCCCTTCCAGTTGCAACCCATAACTTAAAAAACACCCATACACTCTCATTGAAAGCACTGACATATATTTATATACAGTTGAAGTCAGAATTATAAGCCCCCCTGACTTATTAGCGCCACTGTTTATTTTTTCCCCAAATTTCTGTTTAATGGAGGGAAGATTGTTTCAGCACATTTCTAAGCATAATAGTTTTAGAAAACTATTTCTAATAATCGATTTATTTTATCGTTGCCATGATGACAGTAAATAATATTTTACTTGATATTTTTTAAGACACTTCTGTACAGTTTAAAGTGACATTTAAAGGCTTAACTAGGTTAATAAGGTGAACTAGGCAGGTTAGGGTAATTAGGCAAGTAATTGTGTAATGATGGTTTGTTCTGTAGAGTATCGAGAAAAAAAAATAGCTTAAAGGGGATAATAATTTTGTCCCAAAATTGGTTTTTAAAAAAATTAAAACTGCTTTTATTCTAGCCAAAATAAAACAAATAAGACTTCCTCCAGAAGAAAAAATATTATCAGACATACAGTGAAAATTTCCTTGCTCTGTTAAACATCATTTGGGAAATATTAAAAAAAGAAAAAAAAATTAAAAGGGGGCTAATAATTCTGACTTCAGCTGTATATATGACATCACACAAATGCACATTTACTCACTATTTACTCACCATTAGATGGTTTCAAACCTTTTCAAAGAAAAGTTTCTTTTCTCTGTTGAACACGAAAGAAGATATTTTTTAGGAATGATGGAAACCAGTAGCAGTCAACATACATACTAGGGAAAAAAAATACTATTGAAGTCAATGGTTACAGCAGTTTTCAGCATTCTTCAAAATATATTAGTTTGTTTTTTAATAAAAGAAAGAAAGTGCAATGGATTTTTTAAGTAAGGGGTGAGTAAATGATGACAGAAGTTTAATTTTTCGATGAACTATATATATATATGTGTGTGTGTGTGTGTGTGTGTGTGTGTGTGTGTGTGTGTGTGTGTGTGTGTGTGTGTGTGTGTGTGTGTGTGTGTGTAATTAATGTTTCCCAATGAACATAAAATGTTTTGTAGAATTTTAAATTAATTGATTACATTTTTGGAGTTGCATTACTTCAAAATCTACGTAGCTAAAAAACTTTCCTCCTTGGCTCACAATGCTTACAGTGGGTTTATCTTTTTTAGTCCAGCCCAAAAACTTTATTATTATTTTTTTTTAATGATCCAATGATTAAATTGCAGTAAATGTGTTCTCAGCTGTGCCACACAAGTGCGGGTTACATGCATGACTGCCAGTGTTATATAAACATGTTCCAACAAAGTGATGCTCAGAGCTATAAAATCTTTTATAGATCCTACATAGAGTTGTTCAAAGTGGGCAGCACAGAGCCAGCCCAAGCTCTTGGGGCTTCTAACTAAGCCTTTTCTCGTTTTTTTTCTAGACCCAACACCACCCTCCTGGAGCCTAGCAGCCCAGAATTCACGTCTACCCTGGGATCAGTTGCCGACTGGCTGCAGGCCATCAACATGGAACGTTACAGAGACAACTTCACCGCTGCTGGCTATACCACTCCAGAAGCTGTGGTCCATATGACACAAGAGTAAGTCACGTGACCTAAAATCTGGCCACTCTTAAGGTGTTACTAGACATGCGATGTGTGTATGTTGGCCTGGAGCGAACGTTTGACTAATGCAAGAGAACGAAACGCAGCTCTTAAATCAGCGCTCAGGGAGACACGTTCCTGACGTATGGTTTCAGTAGTCACATTTCCGTGCAAAACCCCTGCAGATGCCAGTGAAGCGTTGAGAATTCTGCTTTGGCATTCAAATGTTCAGTTCTTAGATTACATGTTAAAAGCAAATGAGTTTGGCGAAAGCAAATTCTACATGTTCTCATCACCTCTACACTGTAAAAAAAATGCTTGGTTCCACACAATTCCTGCATGTTGTCCATAAGGTGCCATATACTGCATTAGTTTAATAAGTTAAATTGTTCTCTATTATCTACATAGTAGTATTATGGCTTCGGTAAATAAAAAAAATAAAAGAAATAGTTTTTTAAGCTCAATTAATACTACACATAATACCTACAGAATCAGAAGGTCCATGATTGACCATATATGGTTAGGGTCATGAATATTAATGAGCTCCGCTCTGACCTGCCACTCTTAACAGACACACACACTGACAGCACGATGTACACTGGGCACGGATAAATAAAAACCCAATCACAGTAACGATGACCTGTTTTGCTCACCGGATCTGTTGTGGATAAAGGCTAAACTATAATTGAACTTGACTATAGACATTGATAGGGATGTATGGTGTTGTTTTTTGAAGCTATGGTGAAAGAAAACATGGCCAGAAATTAATATCAACCTCTGTATGAACAGAGTAATCTGACACAATTAAGCAGTCTTCATGTGTTTGTTGAATTATATGTCTAAAATAAGGGAGGACAGTTATCGTTGTTGTCTCCCTAGAAAATGTTGTTGCTTATCAAACACAGCATGAGGCATGCATATTAATGATCTTAGAGCTTTTTTTATGATCTCAGAACTTGATGACATGGCTGTTCGTCAGGTCTGGATGAATATCCTAAAGTAGACATACATGCAAATGTGGAGGGCATGGCCTGTGAGTCCTGTCACAGTTTGTTTTGTCTTCTGATTGGCCTGTTATCCACAGAGGTTTCATGCCCTAGGCACACTAGAGTTTAAGCTCGTGAAATTCTGTCAAACGGTGCTGTGAAAAGTGGCGGGATTAAACAAGATGATTAGACATTTAAACAAGCGAGCGATTGGTCCATATTTTAAATTCCTGTCCAGAGAGGTCATGTTTTGATCCTCGATTAGTCTCACACAGTCAAGTGACGAGATTTCACAGGTCAGAGTTCACCAAGCTTAACTTGACGCACAAAAAGACACATTCGCGTGAATGGAAGTCTATGGGGAGAAAAGTCTAGTGTGATCGCAGCTTCACACTTATGGAATTTACACAAAAAACAAGGTAACAATGGTGAATGAGGCAGCCCATTTTCATATACTGAGCTTTTATTATTCTACTATGTCTTGGTATACCCAGATGTTCATTATAGGGCAACTTTAACTTATTTTTGCAAATTTACAGTATGTGGATCAAACATAAATGAATAAAGTTCTCCCCCTCAAACAAAAAAATATTTTATTGTGTTGATTGTGCAGCTCATTTTAAATAAGTAGTTTGAACAACCAGCAAAAATACTGTTTTAATTGTATCTTTTGTTTGTAACAGGGACATGACGAGGATAGGGATCTCCACCGCTGCACACCAGGATAAGATCCTCAACAGCGCGCAGGGAATGTTGTCCCAGATGCAGCAAATGCAGGACAGGATGGTTCCTGTCTGAACCCCACGGGATCAGAAAACACATTCACACACACTTTGGACTTCCTTTTTTTATTTTGGTTCTAAGAAAATCCATTTACCTCATCCATGCACTTTAAATTCAATTTTTTTGTGGGGGAAAAAAGGAAAATATTTCAAAGGAACGATACAGCACTTTTCTTTTAATAACGCCATCGAGTCAAGAGGATCGTTTAGCGCTGTACTGACGCTCTGGATGGGATTGTAGGAAGCTTTTCATTTCACCGAAACTACGAAGGAGTTTGTTTATTTGATTTTTTATATGTATGTGCCTGTAAGTAAATGTATAAATAGTACTGGATTTTTACTTTTTTTTTCCGTCCGCTCTTGCCATTTCACGGTTGCTTGAGTGAGCGGCACCTGGTGGAATTTTTACGCTCGAATTTGAGGCGACGGAGATAAAGATTTTATGCACTCTTAACGCTTTTGTTCCGGGGATTTCGGAGAGGCATTCATCTTCCCAGCAGCCACAATGGAAGACCACTTCTGGAAGGTCTCCAGGTCTCTCCACCCTCAGAATGGAATATCTGTCTCCACTTCGCAATTCGCTCCACTCGGCCTGGCCTGGAATAGAAAAATGGGCCCTCAGTTTACATCTTTCTCTCTCCACCTCAGTCTCTACGGTTTTCCCTCTCTCTCTCTCTCTGTGTCTCCGGAGACCTTCGGCAGGCCGTGAAATCAACACATGTCTCCCTTACTGGAAGTTCCATCAGAGCTGAACTAAGGTAAGCACAAAGTCGGACCCAGTGTTTATGGGATCTGCTCTACTTCCTCTTCATCCCCTGCAGTTATTTATCCACTCATTAGTTGGGATTACAAGCCGTTCTGATGAATACAAGGCAAATATATCGGCTGCGTTTGATGGGACGAGCTCGAAACGGAAACAGAGCCAAAAAATGTGTTTTTCCCATGCTCCCCGACAACAGAGCAATTTTATTTTCCATACTCCATGGATTACAACAATTAATGCCGCGTTTGTGTGTCCCGCTCTGTTTACAAGACACGCTTTGAATCCCAGAATCATAATCATTATCTTTTCTCTCTCTTTCTCTCTCTCTCTCTGTTTTCGATCCATAGAGTCACCTTCACACATCTGTTCTGCAGCGATATCCTGTCTCGCATCCGCTGCAGTTTCACTAACTACATTTACTTGACATCAGGACAAAGGACTTCGATTCCCATGATTCCCTGCTTCCAGCGCAGGAGAAAGAAAACATGACAAACAACCCGAGGAGCAGTCGAGGGCCCTTTGGTTTTCTCCTTTGAGATTTGATGAGAGATATAATGAACATTTTCATTTGGTCTCGCTCTTGACAGGAAAAACTCGCTGCAGCGTGTTGCTGTTTCCTTTGAAGGATGACGGTTTGTTTTGAGGAGCATACACTAAGGACAAAAGCGCATGATGTGTGCTAAGACTGCAGAACTTTTGTGGCTGCTCTCTGGAGACCAACGTACTGGAGTTGTTTGCTATATGTGCTAAGCCACTGCTGTTTTTTTGCTTCTTATCAAGGCTGGAGATTGTAGCTAAAAAACAAACCACATTTCTTTGAGTCGTTTGACTCGAACCGGGATGATTTCAACGCTAATTTGAATGCAGACTGCAAGAAGAGGCACGCTATTTGTACCTAAAATAAACTTATTACAGGAATGTTTAGAAAACGGGCAAACTTTTAACATTTCAAGTGTGCTCTGTGTCAAGTCCATCCATCCATCCGTCCCATCTGAGAGACTTAATGTGACGCCTTCTCATGTTTAACTTTGCTTTCCTCCTGCTTCATCTCTCAGTATTCCCTCCTCACCTGTTTTAGGACCTGTTGGAATATGCAATGAATGTGAGAGGAGAGAATTTCAGTAGAATGTACTGTGCCAAGTCTCCTAATGTAGATTATACTGGAGGAACTCTAACAAATGGCATCCCCCCCACCCCTCGAGCTGATCTAGGCATTTTTATTAAGTTTAACGTTGTGCATAATTATGTTTTTTTTTTTGCCTCTCTTCCATTTTTATTTGATGAATTTAGGTACATGAAACATGTCATTTATTTATGGTATTTTTTATCTAGTTTGTAAATTGTAAAATAGAGCTATGAGAGAAATAAATGATTGCCAAGTGCATTGTAATTAATGTTGAACATGATTTATGTGGATAATTCTGTACAAACTAATGGTTGGATAGGGTTTTGGATGACGCATCTGATGAGAACAAAATAGATCCTGTGTTTATATTCACAGAAAGAGGCATTAGCTGTAAAAAAAAAAAAAAAAAAAAGTTGCTGCCTGAAATCAAGCTGAATCAAATTAACCCACAAGTTATTTCAATTTACATTACATTACACTGACTTAAATATTAAATTAAATAAAACATGATTAGCTTATTTTAATAATTTAAAGTAAGATTTCAAAACCATGCTGTTATGATTTATTGATCATATTTTTATAGTGCAGATCAGGGTCAGAAATCAAAATAGGAATTCAATATTGTTACATATAAATCACAATCTCTGTTTATTATATTGGAATAATGTCTATTAATGTCAGATAATAGATGCATACAAAAACATGTTTGTGTTTGGAGAAATGGCACATTATAATCTGGCTACATGGACCAAACTGAATGTTGGTTTAAAGTGTAAATCTAACACAAAAACGTTTTTAGGATGCACTGCATGGCTTACATTGAGCTTTGAGCAAAAACAATAATAGACATAGGCCTAGCTGCAAGCAGCAGTGACTGGGGTTTAAGCTTTTTAACATGGGTTCATTCATGGGTTCATTTATCAATTAGAAAGTCTCTAACTACTTAAATTAGTGATTAAAAATAATATTTTAATCAGTAACGGTAAATTTCCGTAGAAAGACAGCCTCACCTACCCAGCAGGCACAGGACATCAACATGATGTCAGATTTTGGGTGGAAACGATAATCAGGGTGACGTCAGACGGACTTCAGTGTCTTACATAAGACAGAAGTTGGATTTTAATCACTTTCCAACACAACCTAAAACAACCAAATATCAACATCTAATGATGTTACAGCTTGACGTTGTGTGGACGTTACCACTATGACGTCTATTAGACTTTAGTTGAACACAGTTGAAGTCAGAATTATAAGCCCCCCTTTGATTTTATTTTTATTTTTTAAATATTTCCCAAATTATGTTTAACAGAGTAAGGAAATTTTCACTGTATGTCTGATAACATTTATTCTTCAGGATAAAGTAATATTTGTTTTATTTCTACTAGAATAAAAACAGTTTTTAAAAATAATAATAAATGCATTTTAAGGTAAAAATTATTAAACCTCTTTAAGCTATTTTTCTTTTGGATAGTCTACAGAACAAACAATCATTATACATATAACTTGCCTAATTACCCTAACTTGCCTTGTTAATCTAGTTAATCTAGCCTTTAAATGTTATTTTAAGCTGTATAGGAGTGTCTTGAAAAAGGTAAAATAAATCAGTTATTAGAAATGAGTTATTAAAGCTAATATGTTTAGAAATGTGTTAAAAAAATCTTCTCTCCATTAAACAGAAAATGGGGGGTAAAATAAACCGGGGGTCTAACAATTCAGGGGGGCTAATAATTCTGACTTCAACTGTAAATGTCAGCATTGATGTTGATTTAAGATGTTTGCTTAACGTTGGATTTTGGTCACTTTCCAACACAACACTGAATTTTGGTCACTCGACATCATGACCTAAATCTAACCTAATATTAATGTCTTATGACATGTGCCTGGTGAGAATAGACAGAAACCATGAACATTTTGCAAGATTTTCTGCAATCACATGGGGCCTGTGCATTTTGTGTAAAGTGGCCCACTATTTTTGAATCAATTTTGATATTCAGTAAAAAGACTTTCAAAAGTACTCAAGAGTAGTAAGTATTACGCAGTAAAACCCTGATGTACATGTCATTTAGAGATGTGTGCAATTTAATTTAGTTATTGCCCAGCAGACACACAACATCATAAAACGTTAATATTATGTTAGATTTGGGTTGTGGTGAACAAAATTCAATGTCTAGCCAGCGTCTAAGGACAACTTCATTTTGATGTCCAACAACATCAAATGATGCTGATATTCGGTTGATTTTAGGTTGTGTTAGAAAGTGACCAAAACTCCAACCAAACTTCAACATCTCATAGATGTCATATTGGTAACGTCCACAAAGCGTCGAGCTGTAACATCATTAGACGTTGATGTTTGGTTAATTTTAGGTTGGACACTGACATCCCCACGACGTTGGGCTACAACGTCAATCTGACATGATGTTGACGTCCTGTGTTTAAGGCCATTTCGGTCATCATGCAATAAACATCCGTCATCTTCTCATCAGTGACATGCATCTAAACAGTCTCTGGGTTAATAAGGGTAAAGATTTTGGACATCTTTATGAACACTTTAAATGCTTCCAAAGGGTTTGCTACAATTATAAATCGCCCATTTCTTAAGGTAGTACAGTATGATGCGATTTACCTTCTATGTGAGATTTGATTGGACAGGAGTCACAGGACTGATTTTTCTCATTTTCATAGACAAGAAAAAATAAAGTAGTGACTGCAGGTTGAAGGGCAGTAGAGGAGTAAAAGTCCTCAAGCAAAAGTAATAGTACATGTTTTTAAAACTACTTGGTAAATTACAATTTCTGAATGTATTGGCTATATTTGTATTTACACCATTCCTCCTGAGTATACAAATTATGATGTGTAGCATGATATTTATTGTAGCCACTGAGCAACCATTACCAAGCAGCAATTCATTTTCGTGTTATACTTTAATTGTGAGTTTTATTAATTGTGTTTAGCTAATTGTAAAAGAGCATTTTTTGCCCCTCATTTTGATTTTATGGGCCATTGTGCCCTGTAAAATCCTGACCCTGCAGCCGAGGGTACAACAGGACAGTTGGCTCCAATGCTGGTCACATATTTCCATTACATTTTGGCTGCAGTTGAAACGGAGTCGTCGAATGTGCTGGTATAAACAGGTTAGTCGCTCTTGCCAGTGGCATTCAGATTATTTTGAGTTTTCTCCTCTCCTTTTCACCCATCATTCCACTCCTCGTCTCTTTCAGCCCGAGCTTGAAGTGAGTGTTTGTGTAAACGCTGATTGTGAGTAAAAGAAACTTGGCAGGGTGAACCAACACATTAAAAGCGTATCAAAAATAAGAGAGAGAGAAATGAGAAAATTCTCCCCCGAAGAACAATTTCAACAATCAAACCGTATTATGGTTGAAGCGGCGGCAGAAGAGGGGGCTGCCCGTGAGCGCCTGCGTTTCGTCAGGTTTTCTTTTTCCCCCCCCCTTGCTTTTTTTTTCTCGTTAAACTTTTTTTTTCCTGTCCTTTCTGCACTTTGAATGGGCCGTAATACAGCCGCTTTGGCACGGTACGCCTGCTTAATCAGTAAACATCTGTTTCCCACAGCCGTCCCAGTCGCGATGAGGGCTGATTGTGGAAAGCCTTTGATAAATAAAGGAGGGAGGAGAGAGAGAAAAAACGAGGAGAAAACGTAATTTTAGAATCCCAGAAAACCCTGCCGTGAGCCAAGCAATGTTTTTCCTCTGACAATCATTCTAATGAGAGATGCATTCATTATGCATGTATTTAGACGCCCGTCACCCTGGAAAAAAAAAAGAAGCAAGGATGGAGCGCAAAAGAAAAATGTCTACTTTGCTCAGGAAAGACTCACCAGCCTGAATTGGTTGATATGTAATGAGGAAGAGAAACGGCATTCCTGCAGGATGAGAGCAGAGAGAACAGGAACTAGAGTGTTTTGATAGCTCTGGATGAGGTTTAACAGGAACAGTGTGGACCAGGACTTTTGGATTTAAAGAGAGTGCTGAAGGACAGAGTGTGTCTGAGGACCAAGAAATGGCTTGAGAAGGTATACCGCCATAAAACCAACCCCCGAATCCATGTTTTAATCTGTAAGCCCTGGAACAGCACGGTCTGAACCTTCAGGACAAATAAGCCAGGTCTTATATTTATAAGAATCGAGTGTCCTCTGAGCAGATCCTTGTGTTGCAGGACTGACGTCTTTTATCTGCTAGGTATCAGTCTTTTTTTCAGTAGCCACTTTATCTGTTCTTTCCAGTGACTTCCAGCACATGGACTTAGAAAAAAAATATATATAGAAGGAAAAAAAGTTGAAGGAAAAGAATAACAATCGAAAATCTGAAGCGACAGCAGTAAATGAATTCAAACCTTCACTTTCGTTTTCTGCTCCAGACGAGAATGGAAAATTACTGAAGTCGCCGTTAACAAGGATGTCACTAAGAGACTAGTTGATTTTTATTTTTGATAAGTCAAACTTTAGAATCCAGTGTTTATTTCACTAAATCTAAAATTTAAAGATGTATTGATTAATATTAGTATTATGAATAGGGCCGGAGCAAGCTGAACTGGCACTCTAGTCAGACAACAATCACGCTGCCCTCAACTCGAAAGTGAAAACAGGAGTGACCAGTTCGTGAAGTGAACCTGATTATTGATTGTAATAGTACAGTATATTATAGTAGTATGGCAATAGTATTAATTAATATTTTGTCAGTGTTCAAGACTGGAAGTAATTGACACTTTTTCCTCACAGTATGTTTGAGTTCTCTGAATTTTGAGACAGATAAAAAAGACTCATTAGTCTGAGTTCATATTTCTAGAGACGCATTTTTCACATTTTTCCCAGCAGAAGTTGTCTTAGTGGGGTAAACTTGGGTAAACAAGAAGTATTTTTTCACAATCCTATTTGCCGAAATAATAATAAAAGAAAAGCTCCACAATGGTGTTATCAAGACTTTCAGAAATAAGAAAAAAAAAAAGTGAAACTGAAGATGGCAGCCAGGAGAGAATAATGTCAAATTTATTATCCGCACCATAGACTCTCCATTAGAAACACCTCGCATAAGTGGAAGTTTGTTTTTTGTAATTTAACACAAAGATAATATAATACATTCATAAATGTATAGAAACGTTCATGTTTTTGTTTTTTTAAATCTAAATATTAAAAACTTTCAAGTATTTAAGATTATGATGACTGTTAAACGCATCATAAAAGTCTTGTGACAAGAGTCCATTGCCAAACCAAACTGACCAAAATTTTGATTTAAAAAAAAAAAAAAAGCGCAGTCTGAATAT